TATATATATAGGACCCTACCACACCCAATAAGGTGAGTCGCTTAAAGATCACCGTTGATCGCAACCCGAATCTCAAGATTAGGATGAGGGTTTACTGGCTAACTTGCTTTATAGCAGGTTACCGGTTGCGAAAATTTTGCTTTCCCATTTTCTCTCTCTACTCTTAAAAACACTTTTAATGTTCTGACATGAGCTCTATATCTTATATTCTTACCACTGACATCCATAACTCCCTCTCTCCCTCCCCTGCTTCCAACCCATTAACAGATGCTCTCTTCATCCGCCACTCTCTCTCTCTCTCCTCCCCCCATTGTGATTGAACCAAAAATAAATCATCCATTTCAGTCCACTTGCACCAACAAAAAACCCTAATTTACAATCTTCAACTCTACCCCAAAGCCACATTTTTCTCCTAGTCTCAATCTCTCTAATCCCCCAAAAACCTATTGATCCAAACTATCTGGATTACAGCAAAAACTGTGGTTTCAACGGCGCCTCTTTTGGCCCGAAATTTTGCAATTCTGGCCAAATAAAGGGCTGAAGACCTTTACCCGGCCATGGGTCAGCCAGAAGTTGCAGAGAAAGAGTCATCTCGAGCCGTTTTCGAAGAGATTTTGTCCGTAAATCGAGCTGTTTTCGAAGAGATTCTGTCTGTAAATCCCCTCTCTCTTGAAGCCCTATTTGAGAATGCTTTGTTAATGGATAGCTGGATGTGAGAATGCTTTTTTAATGGATAGCTGGATTTGAGAAGGCTTTGTTAATTGATAGGTGTGGAAATGGTCCTGCTGGCTTAGGTGGAGTGAGTTATGGACTTCGAAACTGAGGAGCTTGTGAAGGACATGTCCAACTCTCCGACTTTGAAGTCAAAGGAAATGGAGAGATATGTTTTGGTTGTGGAAGTGAAATTGTTAATGGGGGTATTGGATACTCTCCTGCTGCTCTCTCCATTCTTCTTTTGGGTAACAGCCGTGGTTGCCATGAAAGAGGTTTTGTCAAAAAAATGGGCCTTTCTTTGTTGTTACGATACTCATTCCATCTGGCCTTCTATTGATTGGGTTTTCCGTTCACCTTAGTTCACAGCAACATTCCCCTTGCTCTCTTCAGCAAAGAATCGGGTCTCATCTTTATGAATTGCCGGTTTCTGCCTTTCGTGGTTCTTGTTAATTGAGTTTACATCTCTCTTTCCCTACTAGGGTATTCCAATTTGGTTCTTTTGAGAATTCCATAATTTCCTGTTGATTGTGAACATCATAAAATTATAAGGATCACCAATTGCAATTTTGGAACCAATTGGTTGGAGAGTTCCCACTTTACAATTTTCTATTGCGTAAAATCGTTGGCAAATATCACAGTTTTTGCCATAATAAGGTTGGAATCAAGGGCGACTTGAATGTTGAAGACAACTTGTTCACCTGGATTTGAAGATGCTAATTTGCAGGCATTTGGTTCCAAATAACAAGATATAAATAGCCCCACCTATGGGATTCAAAGATGATTTGTGTGATTGCACCGATTAATTACATTGCCATAGACGCTAATGGGGTTGGAGAGAGAGGTGGAGGCAGGAGAAATCGAGGGGACAAAGAACGTCATCATTCTGTTAATAAGGTGGGAAGCAGCAGTGTAAGAGAGTTAGGGATGTGAAGAGAGAGATGGGAGAGAGAGTATTACGGGTGGGTTTGGGTAGAGAAAGATTGGCATGAGAGAGAAAAGTACAGAACTTGTGTCAGGGCATTAAATGGGTTTTTGAGGCTAGAGAGAGAAATGGGAAAAGCAAAATTTTAGCTACAAGTTAGCCGGTGAACCCCAGTTTCATTCTTGAGATTTGGGTTGAGATCAACGGTGATCGTCAGGGGACCCATACCATTGTGCGTGGCAGGGTCCTATAGGATCATTACTCATATATATATATATATATATATGGAAATGCTAGGGTACGCAGCCTCGTGTACCTCATCTTTGAACGCCAACGGCTGTGATAAACAATTGAGTAAGGGACGGCATACGTTGATTTTCACGTGATCCACCTTTTTCAGCTCAAATGAATATTTTTTACTTTTGCCCTCTGCCACCCCGCAATAAAGGACTGACACAGCTTCTTGCTAAAAGCTCCATCTCTCTCTCTCTCTCTCTGAAACTAGCCATGGGTCTCTCTCTCAAGCTGTCATAAGGGACTCTTTTTCGCAAAAGGGGCTCGCTTCTCTCTTTCTCTGCATAGAAGCTCGCACAAAGGTCTCTCTCTCAAAAGGGGCTCGCCTATCTCTCTTTCTCTCTCTGCAAAGAAGCACACATAAGGTTCTCTCTCTGCAAAGAAGCACACATAAGGGTCTCTCTCTGAAAGGTCTCTCTCTCAAAAGGGGCTCGCCTCTCTCTCTTTCTCTCTCTGCAAAGAAGCACACATAAGGGTCTCTCTCTGCAAAGAAGCACACATAAGGGTCTCTCTCTGAAAGCACACATAAAGGGTCTCTCTCAAAAGGGGCTCGCCTCTCTCTCTTTCTCTCTCTGCAAAGAAGCACACATAAGGGTCTCTCTCAAAAACTACACTACCCAAAGGGGCCCCTCTCTTTCTGTGTGCCCAAAATTAGGTTTATATTAGTAAATGTCAGAGGAATCTCCTCCTCTCTCTGTCCAAAATTGGGTTTATATTAGTAAATGTCACTGAAATGTCGCAGGAATCTCTCTCTCTGCCCAAAAATGGGTTTATATTAGTAAATGTTACAGGAATCTCTTGGTTGTTCTCTAATATTTACTTGCACCCAGTTTATGGAATTCTTCTAGATCTGCAATCTTCAACCAATATAAGCCTCAGAGTTCACAGGTCTGTTTTCTTTGTATTAATCTTTAGATTTTTTTGTTGAGGGTTTGAGGAAGAGGGGCATCGAGACCAAAGGAACATGGCGGATGAAAATTTTGGGTTGTCTATTAAATCATTTGTTGGACCGCTTCACTGGTTGTATTTCTTTACGATTAATTCACTGATTGTTGTTTCAATAAGTTATCCTATCTTCTCAGTTGTCGTGATCCAGATGACCAGAAGACTATTAAGTAGTTTGCATGTTGCAGCTTGAGAAGGGCCAGCTTCTCTTCAATTGTTTATCACAGCCGTTGGCATTCAGATAAGGGGTACGCGAGGCGTACCCTAGCATTTCCCATATATATATGGAAGATACTACAAGATGCCTATAGGCGAAAATGAACTGTGATTTCGCCGACCTTCATCACCATCCAAACTTCATCGCATGGTCACAGTTGTCCGGTAATGTTTCAATTTTCATTTTTTTTTTTTTTTACTGATCGGAATGATTTGAAATTTGAAGCGTGTGTACATCTTAATGAGGTGCACCTAATAAAAATATGAAAAAAATTAATTTACAAAATATAAATTGTCTAAAATAACCCCGAAAATTTACGTGGGGTATTTTGGTTAATCTATATTTGCGAATGATTTTTTTCATATTTTTATTAGGTGCGCTTCACTAAGATGTATACACGCTCCAAATTTCAAGTAATTTGGATTTGTAGAAAACAAATGAAAATTGAAACACTGCTGGACTACTGTGACCGTGTGATGAAGTTTGGATGGTGATGAGGATAGGCGAAAGCACTGTTCATTTTTGTCTATAGACGTTGGGAAGAGTTTTTCATATATATATATTTATATATATATATATATAGCATTACCTGTGATTCTTGATTCAAAACCCTAAAAAACATGAGTGATAATCAAACTGGATAAGTAAACAAAAAAACCAGTGGGCATAATTAAAAGCAGTTACTACAAATGTAGTGATTAGTGAACGAGCCAATAGCTACTAAAATGCAATCACAGAATTCTTGCTGTTGACGTACTCGTTTGATATGAGGAGATGTCCTAAAGCTAATCTCCTTCGGAGGCATTGTTTGCTTCTTTCTTCCTTGACTTTGCTCTCCTCTCTCTCTCTCTCTAAAAGAATGTCTAATTTCCTTAAAGAAATAATAATAATTTAGCTGGTGCCTGAAGGAATGTTTCTAAATTGTATGCTTGCTTCTTCTGAGATTTTTCTGGAAAGGCCAAGTTTGGAGAAGGATCGGTGGTCTTGAGTAGATTCCTTTTTTTTCTCTTATTCATGACTGTGGCAGTCTTTGAAATGTCAATGATTCTTTTTTCTTGATTATTCAAAATGTATTTTACATATTTAGGACAAACAACCTAGTTTTCAGCCCTGTTGCTGTTGTAGGATGCTGTACTTTTATTGTTTAGCATAACTTCTGAAACTTGAAAGGCCTTGAAAAGTCCTTTTGACTGTTTGCTTTGGGGAAATGGGGTCAAGAACTTGAAAATATTATTAGTTTCTTATCTTGTTTTTTGTAAAAATAAAATATTTAAATGCTTAGTCAGAAGGTTTTACTTGATCTTTTATTTTGTAGGGTGCTTGTTCTTTTTTAATATGGATCCTAAACACTCAGCAGAAACAGTGAGGTGGACTTTTGACATACGCTACTTATTTTTCATATAGCTTGGGTGATTATGGCTATGATTGTTCTTTTTATGTTCAGGCATTTGGAGAAGGAAGGTGAATCTCTGATGGAAACTTATCGTTCCATGTCACATCAGTTGCATCGGCTTCAGGTATTACGAACAATTTTGTTCTTTGAACGATTTTTCTATCTACTTACATCTGGTTATTATTTGTTGTGGATGTTTCCATTGTTTTGTCTAAAGGTTGAAGAAGAAATGCTTATGAGGAAATTCTATGAGTTCATGTCAGCCCAGGGTTTACTTAAAAAGGCAAACATTTATTTTGGTTATTTGATTTAGACTGGTTATTTCCTTTTCCTTGTTCAGGCATTGTTTTTGTGCAGATGGTTCAACCTATATGGAAAATTATACATTTTTAATTTTATTATTGGTATTTTCATTACTGGTGGGAGATTTGTTGTTTTGAAAGCAATAACACCTTACTGTTTTCCTTGTAATTAGTGCAATTATTACTTTTCATGTTCCTGGTGCCTACCCTTTGTCTTTTTTTATTTTGTTAAATGGTGCCTTCTTGGTTTTAAAAACTCAAACCAACTTGGCTTGGATTATCCAGCCAATGCATTAAGCTTCATAGTTCCCTGTAAGTTTTGAGCGAACAAATGAAACTATATTGTCCCTATAAGTTGGCTGTTTTATCCTTAACTCATGCATTAGGCCCTCTTTCTTTGCTCTCTTCCTGATTGAAAACCTTGACAGTATTCAGATTACATGCTCTGATTAGATCTGATTTAGAGTGGCCATAACATTTTGCAGAAAGGAAATGTTGATGATAATGTAAGGAATGTAGAAAGTGGGTCGCCTGATGAATTGGCCGCCAAGAAGGGCGACAAAAGGTAGCAGGTATGCTAGTTGAATCCCTCTCTTTCTCTCTCTCTCTTCCCTCCCCCCCCCCCACAAATTAATGTAAGCTTGTGATCTGTCTGCTACATTTCAATCCAAATCTATTTAAGTCTGTTCGAGTCGTCAAGAATTGGCACGAAACTCTAATTGCCTTTAGGAAACTATGAACTCTTAAGCTGTATGTTTACTGTGGAACAGGTTTGATGCAGTTAAAGCTTGGATCTTAGCAGTGCATATTTTGGGCACTTCACTGGCTTCACTACAAAAAACCCAGAGCATCATATGTTAGTGGCAGCTTATGGATCCATCCTGAAGAACCAGGGAAAGAGACAAAACCACTTACGTCTACTCTGGGCTTTCAGTGTGATATACTTTTTTCTCTGAAGTTTGAAGGTCAAGTGTATTAGTGATTGCATCGAATAAGTGGGCTCATCTATTAGATGCAGATGTATTATAATCCGTTGAGGTTTATGAAAGTTTTGACGACTTCATGAGATTTTTGTGGTTGCGTCACTTACAACACCTTTTGTTCTTGGGGATCTTTGGGCAAACTTTTCTTTACTTGAATTTTTGGTCATGAGTAAGGCACCTCTTTAGGTTTCTCAGGTCTTCATTTGGTATATGGTTTTAGCAGCTCTTTGGAATGCCTCTCTAGTTATAGAAGCTCTTTGGAATGCCTCTCTTGTATAACTGGAATTAATGAACATTTGCCCTTATAATGCATGTCGTTGCAATGAGTAATGCCACCTTTATTGCTTGGTCATAGTCACCATCATCCGAGCCTATTCTAATTATTTGAGGTTGGCTATTTGAATTATGTTTCGTCATTCCTCTTTATCAAGTGCCATACCCTTAATTAGATGATAAGTCATCATTTTTTTTTACTACTTCCATCCATATCCTCTTGGACTTTTTTTTACCCTTTTAGAGTCATTCTATTGAACCAAATTATTTTTATAAGATCATGATTCATGAGTGTTTGTTATCAGTGACTTATATTATGATTGTTGTGGACATTGTTATTAAAGAGATGATCATTTAGCAAAGCAAAGTTATCGGGCAAGTTTGGCAATAGGTTTGGATTTTGGCTTCGCAAAAAGCTTAAGATTGAAAACAATAATAACCAAAATATTGTGAAATAAAAAGTTAAATAGGTATGTCAAGTGACACTGCTAATAATTAATTTTTTTAAGGAAAACTCATTTTAAGGGACAGAAGAGAAGAAAAATGATTGAGTTCCATAGGTATGGCTGCGCTTGGAGTATTTATATTCGTGTTATTCTAAAATACAGGAAAACAAGAAATTTATGTGTCCCCCTCTCAAATTTATGTTATATAAACGTCCCCTTCAATTTTTTTTTTTTTTGCTCTCATTCATGTCTCATTGTTTTGTTTTTGTTTTTGTTTTCTTTTTTTTTCAATTTGTTTGGACCAAATTGTCTGTATTTCAGACCTTTGGACTCTGAAGTCGAAAGACACTTGCCCTACATTCTCTACAATCCAAGATGGGATTGTCCATGTACAAAAGATAAATGGTCTTTTTATAGACATTATCAAAAGAGAAAAGTTTATATAAAGTTGAGACTTTAAACAATCAAATTAGAGCCTACCTAAAAAATTTCATTGGTGCCCAAATATCTTCAAATTGATCATCTCAACTTGAGAAAAAAATTGGGTTTTAAGTTTTGAGAATAATGTATTTTGCAATGCATTTTTCGACCGTCAATTTTCAAGATTTTTATAGATCTATCAATATACATTATTTTTGAAGTTTTATATTTTAAAAATAAAAGTGAAAATATACTTTAAGGCTATCACCATGATTTTCAATATTGAAACCATATTTCTCAAAACTATTTAAAAGGAAGCTCTAATTTTGATTGTTTAGAGAACCGCTCCTTCTCAAAATAGGTTTTTAGGTATTATTGACATCAAAATTACATCTTTTGATTAGTTTTGGATGCGTGCCTTGATTGAATTGTAACGAGGCTGAAATCTTGTGGCCCTAATCACAAAACATCGAATCCAAGTAAAGTACGGACCGGGGAAATGGTACGAGACCACAACGTCATTGCTGCTACATTAGTGATTTGAACGGTGATGATTGGACAGCAGTCCCACCTATCATTCAACGGTTGGACGGCTACCATCGACTATGTGATAGATGGTGATAACCCTATGACCAACTGTTGCAATGAGATAAAAATATACTTGTAATAAAAATTTATTGAGAAGTCGAAAAGGTCTACTCATACAACGGCCTAGTCCATTGTTATTTAGTCGGCTTGGGGGCTAGGTTAGATGCCATCATGAAAAACTAGAGCCTAGGTTACAAAATGTAAGCGAGTGCCGGGCTTGGCTGGGCTTATAGGGACCATGGTGGCGCTAAGGCAAGCTTAAGCTGCCCAAGTGAGTGCCGGGTTAGGCTGGGCTTATAGGGACCATGGTGGGGCTAAGGCAAGCTTAACCTGCCCAAGCCTAGCCCGATGCCAGCCTTAGATTCAACGTGTTCCCACAAACAACGGCGGACCTTAAGCAGCACCATGATTCATTTTAACCGTTGGCCTAAAAAAACGGACGCGGATTGAATATCTGGTCTACTTGACATGCATTACGCACTCCACCAAGACTCTATGAAAACAAAATAAAGCCTCACCTTAAATTCTCATATGGAAAGCACTGTTGGCATCGGAATCTTTACAATGGCTCTAAAATTAATTTTCAACACCAACAATGAAATTTAAAACTAAAAAAATGGTACAAATCTTGTCAATTTGTGAACACTTATTTTTAAGGTGAAATGAATGGTTTAGATCAGTGTTTAAAAAAGCGTCGAGTCGAACCGGATTTGCCCAATTCGACTATGAAATCGCTATAAAACGCGTCGACTCGACACAAAAAATGGGAATCACCCGTATCCAGAGAGAACCGGGCGATTCTCAATAGTAGACTCGCGATTCTGTCTGAGTCCCAATAGTTGAATCGCGAGTCACCCGGAAGAACACGGGCTGAACAGTGTTCTTCACGGGATTTCGATTTTTTTTGTCTTTTTTTTTTTTATCGATTTTCAACGTTTTTAGCCTTATGAACGAATATTACAGGCTTTAATTCAAATTTCGAATCATTTTCACTAAATAAAGGGAATTAAAAACTACCGTTTTTAATCAACAAATTTGGTTCGCAGAGTGAGTTTTAGGGTTTCCGCCATTTTCACGATTTCAATAAAAAAAAAAGCTTCATTTTTTGTAAAATTTTAGGCTAAGTGATTGTAAGAGTGTTGGTCAGAATTTTGTGTTCATAATTTGTGATTATCTTGGAGTAGTACATATCAATTTTGAGTATGAAGGCACAAATGCACAAAGAACAGGTAAAAACTCAGGTTTTTTTTTTTTCCATGCGATCAAATTCAGTCAATATTTTACAAATCATGTATTAAATTTATAGGGTTTTGATTCTTTGTAGTGTTGTTTATCATTAGATATATTCAATTTGATTATATTTATTCAATTTGAGTTGGATTTTATAGAAAATAAGAGTGATGTCTGTTAACAAAACAATGGACTAGTTTTTTTTTTTTTTTCCGCCATTTTTACCATTTAAATCTAAATAAAGCTTAATTTTTTGTAAAATTTCAGTCTGAGTGATTGTAAGAGTGTTGGTCAGAATTTTGTGTTCATAATTTGTGATTATCTTGGAGGAATACATATCAATTTTGAGTTTGAAGGCACGGATGCACGAAAAACAGGTAAAAACTCAGGTTTTTTTTTTTTTCCCCATGTGATTAAATCCAGTCAATATTTTACAGATCATGTATTAAATTTATAGGGTTTTGATTCTTTGTAGTGTTGTTTATCATTAGGTATATTCAATTTGAGTTGGACTTTATAGAAAATAAGAGTGATGTCTGTTAAAAAAAAAGTGGACTGTTTTTTTTTTTTTTCTGCCCATTTTCATAATTTCAGTAAATATTTTGTAAAGAATGTGTTGAATTTATAGGGTTTTGATTCATTATAGTGTTGTTTATCATCTCATGTATTCAATTTTATCTGATTTATTCAATTTGAGATTGATTTTTGAGATTGAATGACTAATGTCTGTGAAGAACTTGGGTTTTTTTTTTTTTTTTCGTGATCAATTTTTTTGAGAAATCGTGATTTTTCGAGAAATTATTTTTGATTATCATGAGGAATTAAAAAATATTTTTAATTTTTATTATTAAATTTCTAGTTCAAAAAATTGCATGTTGATAGATTATTTATGCAAAAAAATACATGTTATTATATTTTTAATGCAAAACTGTATTTTTTAATTTGTTATTAATGCAAAAAAATACATTGACAAATACATGCTGTTAAACTGTATTATATTTCTAATGCAGTTTTTCATTAAAAAAGTATTTTAAATTTTTTTAATTTTTAATACAAAAAATACATGTTGTTAAACTGTATTATCATGAGGAATTAAAGTGAATATCATTGTAAAAAAATCGTGGCATGTTGTTATATTTTTAATGTAAAACTGTATTTTTTAATTTGTTGTTAATGCAAAAAATACATTAACAAATACATGTTGTTAAACTGTATTATATTTTTAATGCAATTTTGCATTAAAAAAGTATTTTTAATTTTTTAATTTTTTAATGCAAAAAATACATATTGTTAAACTGTATTATCACGAGGAATTAAAGTGAATATCATTGTAAAATATCATATATTGTAATTATATTAGCTTGCAATTATCAATTTTATTATTAAAGTTTTAATGCAAAAAATGTATGTTTTTGATAATTGAGTTGTAGGCATGTTTGGAGCTTGCTTTTTTTATTATATTATCTTGCATATTTGTAATTGAGATGTATGAATATTTGGCTTGTGTGACTTATACAGACTTTTTTTTATCTATAATGTTGCATAAATATATATTTTTTCTCAGTAGGAACTAATTCATAT